GTCGTTTACTCAGGTAGGGTAGTATATATATATATATATATATATATATATATAGCAGGAAACATTTCACGTACCAATGTTATATCTCTCTGGAAGATTGAAATATCGCCCCTTGTAGTATGTGGTTGATTTAACGAACTTTTGGTAGTTTAGACATTTTTGAAATTATTATTTAATTACGGAAAGTAAATTTTAAGAGCCAAAAATTATACAAGAAAGCATAAAAACTGGATGGATAAGGCTCTCCTAAATAAGTATTTTCAGGTCATTCTAAAATTGATAACCTAATAAAGTCCATTAAGTACTGCCTTAAACCTCGGGAATAATTTATTCACAGTAAACTCTGATATAACATTGAATTACGAGAAGCTAATGAAATATAACAATGCATCGTCGTTTATTCGTTACCCTAATATAATTCTAATAGCAAATATTCCAAATAATTAGACACTTCTCAAGGCAAAACTACATTTGTAGCAATAAATATAATAAGATTGAGTAACTGATAATCCTGACTCTAATAAGAAAACTGTCAAATTATATTTAAGAACTTGTTTGTTTGTTTTGTTTTTTAATAATCACAAAGCTACACAAGGGCTATCTGTGCTCTGCCCACCACGGGTATCGAAACCCGGTTTCTAGCGTTGTAAGTCCGCAGACATACCGCTGTGCCACTGGAGGGCGATGTTTAAGAAATTCGAAAAAAACAACACTTAATACGTGGTTTGTTTTCACTCCCCTTTATTTTAATGACATTGGATAACCTGAAAAACAACGACAGCTTTTATAATATGTTGGACACTTGTTCATCACGCAGTTTTCATAAGTAATAAATTGATGATGCCCTTTTTCTGTATTTATAATTAATGTTTTCATGGAGTGTTTTATTGACAACAACTAAACAGTACCCGAGGAAGAATTACAATCAAAACGTATTCAACACAAAAGCATCCGAGAGTGATTGAATATAATAAGTTCTCAATAATTTGATAAATGTTGGACAACAGTTTATTCAAATATCGATAGTACTAAGTACAGTTTAAAATGTAATTGTTTTGTGTATATTAGAATCTATACAAATCTGACACCAGTAGAGACCTTTATCTGACACCAGTAGAGACCTTTATCTAACACCAGTAGAGACCTTTATCTAACACCAGTGGAGACCTTTATCTGACACCAGTAGAGACCTTTATCTAACACCCGTAGAGACCTTTATCTGACACCAATAGAGACCTTTATCTGACACCAGTAGAGACCTTTATCTGACACCAGTAGACACCTTTATCTAACACCAGTAGAGACCTTTATCTAACACCAGTAGAGTCCTTTATCTGACACCAGTAGAGACCTTTATCTAACACCAGTAGAGACCTTTATCTGACACCAGTAGAACCTTTATCTGACACCAGTAGAGACCTTTATCTAACACCAGTAGAGACCTTTATCTGACACCAGTAGAGACCTTTATCTGACACCAGTAGAGACCTTTACCTGACACCAGTAGAGACCTTTGAAATTATTTCAGTTTATGCCTAAATTTTAAGCATTTCCGTTTTCACTATTATTTCGGTTTTTCTATCTAAGACATTTAAGGCATTTATACAGTCTATCTATAATACGTTTAATTATTTTAAGTATTTTTAATTTGAGACATTATAGTATTGAAGAAAAATATTACGCCTGTGAAAAGCTAAAAAAAAAACTAAACTTTGGTTAACGCAGAGTAAAAACAATCCAAAAGGAGAAGCTTATTTCATAAGAAAAAGTAGTTTTTGTTGTTGCTTAAAATCAAACTGAATTACTTAAAATATCAATAAGTTGGGTTTCATGTTGTTAGAGCACCATCTTTGTGCTTATTCTATCATCATCTTTGTGCTTATTCTATCATCATCTTCGTGCTTATTCTATCGCAGCTGTTACTTTTTTGTTTTTTTTATAATTCTAAATGTAGAAAAAAAAATGTTAATTTGGCTGAGCTTAGAACAGACTTACTTTCTCTCTGACTTATATATAACACTTTCTTTAAAAAATGCATTCACTGGTTAAATTGATATATAAGATTGAAATATAATAACGAATAGAATAAGAAAAGTTGTCAAATTGCTAGCTTCACATGAAATTTGTTTATTCATAGAGGAATCGCCCAATGTCTATGAAAAAAGACACTGTCCAAAAAAGAAATAGAAAACCTAGATCAAGGACTATACAAAAAAATGGAAGGACTCCATCATTGAATATTAATAAGAATGGTGAGAAAAACAAGTATTTTTCTGAACAGTATGATAAGATATATTTATCATTTTGTAATATTTAACATGACGATGATGTATCAGATTTCTATCAAGATGACCCAGGATCGAACCTCGATCACTACTAACACAGAAGATAGCCCTTCTACTTAGTAATTGTTTGTTTAAAAGGTTTACTAATTAATAATCAAATATAAATCGTATAGGCTAGTTACCATGACGACTAATATCCAATCGCCCTAACCCTATTGTAAATACTTTATCACCCAGTATGATAATATAAATCGTATAGGCTACTTACCATGACGACTAATATCCAATCGCCCTAACACTATTGTAAATACTTTATCACCCAGTATGACCCCTAAATTTCTAAGAGATATAGAAAAGCTGTACTGAGAATTAGCTAAAATAGATAACCCTATAAATGTAAACGACATAACGTAATTCCTATAGGACTTAAGGTTAAAATGTTACCTATCAAACCTACGATGTCAATGACTAACTGAAAAACTAATTTAGCAGTGTAAGACTAGAGGGAAAACAGCTAGTCATCACCACCCCCCGCCAACTCTTGAGCTACTCTTTTACCAACGAATAGTGGGATTGACCGTCACATTATAACGCCCCCACGGTTGAAAGGGCGAGCATGTTTGGTGGGACGGGGATTCGAACCCGCGACCCGCAGATTGCGAGTCGTGCGCCCTAACCACCTGGTCATGCCGGGCCGAGGTACGAGTAAATACTTTGACTGTCAATCAAATCACCCAAACAGTATAAAGATTACAACCTTCCTTAACAATGGACTCATGAAAGATAAACAGAGCATTTCTGGAAACATAAATAGGATATGTAGATAGTATAATATCAGAACGCATAATACGATCACAATCAGTATGGGGAAAGTGAGGTAAGACGGTCCCTCTGGGTAAAACGTTCATCCAACTCAGAACGCACAATGCGATCACAATCAGAAGGGAGAAAGTGAGGTAAGACGGTCCCTCTGGGTAAAACGTTCATCCAACTCAGAACGCATAATACGATCACAATCAGTATGGAGAAAGTGATGTAAGACGGCCCCTCTGGATAAAACGTCCATCCAACTCAGAACGCACAATACGATCACAATCAGTAGGGAGAAAATAAAACAATACAGTCTCTCTGGGTAAAACGTCTATCCAAGTCAAAACAATACGATCACAATCAGTATGGAGAAAGTGAGGTAAGACGGTCCCTCTGGGTAAAACGTTCATCCAACTCAGAACGCACAGTACGACCACAGATATCTGGTTATACAGATATAAGACGCTAGTTGACATACAGAACAACTGTATTATTGTTATTTTCTTAACTCTTCAGTATTGTGGGTGCTTTAGATTTGGTTTGTTTATAGTTAAGCACAAAGCTACACAGTGGGCTATCTGTGCTCTGTCCACCACGGGTATCGAAACCCGGTTTCTAGCGTTGTAAATCCGCAGACATACCGCCGTGCCACTGGAAGGCCTTTAGATTTGGAAAGATCTGGTTAATGCATAGAATATTGTAGTATATTTCAACTTATAATTTTATGTAATATTATAGCTGGAGTACTTGACCCCTGAACGGAAGTTATGTAAATTCATGATTACTGAAAGGTTATCTTAGAACATGAAACGTTGCTTCTCTATATGTAATTGTAAAAAACGCCCATAAAAACTGCAAAACATAAAATTTGAAGCCGCAAGTTTGCATGTATTTCCTCATGGACCCAACAAACCTTCATGCAAAGATCCATAAACGGGGAGCGAAGTAATGGGAAAAAACGCCCATAAAAACCGCAAAATGTAAAACTGAAAATTTGTGTGTACCCCCGCATGAACCTAACGAACCTCCATACCAAATTTGGTAAAAATCTATTTACAGGGGGCGAAGTAGTTGAGGAACATGCAAAAATGCCCAGAAAAACCGCAAAACGCAAAATTCAAAACTGAAAATTTGTATGTATTTCCGCATGGACCTATTGAACCTCCATATCAATTTTGGTGAAGATCCATCCACACCCTGCGAAGTAGTTACATGGACATACAACAGACAGTACTATTACGGCTTCTTGTGATGAAATTGTTGGTACTGTATTTTTGAAGTCGAATTGAAAATGTTTAGGACGCAAGGTTAAAACGGATTTAACCCCACAGCATTGTCTTCATACTCCAATTTAACATTTAAATATTAGATAATATATAAAGTCAAGTCAAGCTGAGATGACTGTCTGAACGTCCATCCACGCACATGTTGTTTTTATGCATCTTAATATTCTTTGTATCTACCTATAAATAAAGTAATTTTTCTCATTTAGTTAGAAATAAAACTTAGCAAGACTTTCCAGTTCCTGAAACTTGTATTTTTATTTTATTAAATTGTTCTTTTATTTCTAGCTCTGTCATACCGATTAAGTCATTAAGTTTTCATCTTAAAATATTCCATTTTTTTTCATAATCATGCACAAAATGTTTGTTGCGAGAGTTTACCCTTTAGAAATATCTGAAATAATGCCAGTTAATTAAACTCTAATCAAATGTAAACATCAATGTTGTCATTGGTTAGTTGTATGTGTTTTGTTGCGTCTTCTTTTTATTGCGGAATTAAATGTTTCCAAACTGATGTCTCATGTCATAGGTTAAAAAGCTGTCAATCTGCTCCGAACACCATATCGAAAAAGCATTCATCTGTGTGTGTTTATATTACACTTTTGTTGCGTACTGCATCATATATCGAAATAAGCTCCTCTCTGTGTGTGTTCATATTACACTTTTGCTGTGGAGTACATCATATATTGATACAAAACTCATCTGTGTGTGTGTGTGTTCATATTACAATTTTTTTGTGTACTACATCATATATTGATACAAAACTCATATCTGTGTGTGTGTTCATATTACAATTTTGTTGCGTACCACATCGTATGTTATTAACTTGGTTTGTTGTTGCTACACTGATGGTATTCAAAGCTAACCTAATTTATTTCATATATTTTGTTAATAGGACATTATTATCAAACATTTTAGTAGTTAGGTATTTTCAACCTGAACAACATCTTATGTTATATATATCGGCCATTAATATTCGATTACTGACAACAGGTAAGGCAGTCATGTAGACAGTAGTACCCGTCATTAATATTGTATTACTGACAACAGGTAAGGCAGTCATGTAGACAGTAGTACCCGTCATTAATATTGTATTACTGACAACAGGTAAGGCAGTCATGCAGTCAGCAGTACCCGCCACTAGAATAGCTTTCGTATCGAATAACAGGACTAACTGTCACTATTATAACGCACATACAGCTGAAAGTGCTGAGCGTGTTCAGCGACATTGTGGCGCGAACCCTAGACTTTTCAAGTCTAGTCAGTTAGTCACTGACCAGTATCAGCAGTTATAACTTGGTCTATAAATACCACTAGATCAAGCCTGGAACTGATATATATATCCTTACTCGCGGGTTCGAATCCGCATCCCACCAAACATGCTCGCCCTTTCAGCCGTGGGGGCGGTTATAATGTGACGGTCAATCCCACTATCGTTGGTAAAGATTAGC